TGTTCCGTACAAAGATTCATCATACTGTAAATCTAAAAAATTGTGTTAAGTTTTTATTTTTTTCCTTAGAAAATGTATAAATCTTCAAATAAACACATATAAATTAATTTGTAAAAAAGTAATTTCACTTGTAACTTACCATATTGATGTCTTTTGTTCTGTTAGTTTTAAAATACAAACTGTAAATTTCTATAAAGATATTTTCATCCTAGAATATAATTATACTTCAATTAAAAACAAAAATTGATCATTCTTCCGTTTATATATGCATTTGTCTATCGATACATCAAATATCTTCATAACTCGTATTTTATTTTTTTCCCTATTAAATCTCAAAAACTTAAATGCATTTTTGCCCTGAAGTGAAAGCGATTTTGAGAATAAAATACGAATTTCTGGGTTTTAATACACAGATTTCGTGTTTGAAGGGGGCAGACTAGGTTAAGAGGAATTTAATGTAACGATATAAGATGTATACAAATTACAATATATATATATATTATAATTAACACAAAATATAAGTTATGTTACTTACGTTTACTGTGACACTGGACACGAAATAACAGTAGACGAAAATGACGAAAGCAACACACACCATAATAATTTTAAATGTAATATTTAGTCGTGTGTCCGAAACGGTATTTAACAATAAAAGTCTGCCAAATGTTAATTCGATACACAACAAAATAATAATTCCAGAAAACGAGAATTCATTCTGTACAACGTTGCATATCTTCAAACTCTCTCTGGCATTTTGAATCAAATTCCAAATTACAGTTACGTCAATATGATTCGTTTGATTTTGTATATATTTGCGAATCATACGAATCTGTAATTTCTGAAATTCGCATAAGAATATAAGAAAACATATATATGAGAAAGCACTCATAATTATGTAAATATTCCGAATTGTACATTGCAGCAAACAGACGGATTGTCCGAACGACCATTCGTAATTGTTAATTTGTAAATAGATAATCGAATTTAAAATTAACTGAACGAAACTCATAAATCCGACTGCGCCTATGTAAAAGCACACAAGATTATTTTGAATTTTCAACAAAGAATTTATTATGTTTATCCTACGTTCGTTCAGAATTTTTCTCCACACAATTCGAGTATTCCTGAACAATCTTCTGCATTTTGTGCTGTTCCAAAAGAAAAGATATTTTAAAGAAAAACATATGCAAGACGTGATTAAAATTCTTACAACCACAACATTATTCTTGTACTTTATAGAATTTTCGCAGAGTTGTAGCGCCATGTCTTCGTTTCCAATGTATAATATCAAGATATAACTGATTATTTTAAACGTAAAGAATATTTTCAGTGTTAGAATGTAGAAGTAAGTGAAACTTATTTTCTTTTGTGATTCTGTAAAGAAATCGGCCCCGGATATTTTCATTATTATGATAATAGGAGCAAAGACGATATCTGGAGAAATTTCCCTTTGCATCATATTTTACCAGTAAAGAATAAATATTCTGTGGAGTAATAGTATTATTGTAATAAACTATGGTTACATACAACAATTAAATTAATAAAGACTAAAGTGTGAATGTGAGATCTTCAGACAAGCTGTACTGTACAAGATATTATCGTCACAGTACAAAATGTTCTAATATAAATATCAGAGTACTCGTTCCTCATTGTAAATGGAGTTATATAATATCGATCTCGTTTATATCGATATCGCATAATTTATAATGGTATGGATCGTTTAATAGAATACTTCCTTAATGGATGGATAAAATATGGGTAAAATATGAGTAATTTAATGAATGTATAGAGATTTATTAGTACGTATATTGCTAATTGCTTTTTTATGATTACTATATTTTAGCTTTTACAACTTTTTACTCTTACCTTGTTTTAAAGTAGAGGGGTTCTTTTTTTATAAATTGCAATAGTTGTTCATTGTAAATCTTAAATGATAGAAACTACACCAATTGTATTCTAGAAATAATTATTAATTGTTGTAAATAATTGTATCTGAAATTTTACGAGTTATTATATAGCAATTTATATAATACGAGCGATGAAATATATCGTATGTGTTAAAAATTGATGATAAAAAGTCTGGGTTTTAAATAACATGTTAATTTGTTTGTATTTTTAACCCAAACTTATTATCTACTTATTAACGCATTAGATGCATCCGTTGTTGCAATCAAGATTTTCTTTCTTTTATAGTTACTTTCCCGGCTGTTATATAAAACAGAGGGAAAGTATGGCCATACCACAAGAAAAGACTCTCCAGATTTTTACATCTTTGTCTCTAGGACATTTTGAAAAGTGGAGAAATGCAAAAAAAAAAAAAAATGGAGGTAATTTCAATAGGATGTTATGAATATGTTTGTGTGTGAGTGGCACCCCGTTTGAAGCTTAATAATTCCTATGATTTTTTAGGAAGATTTCGAAAATTTCGTTTATTGCGGAAATTGATGCTGTTAAATTTTGTGAATTAAAACTCAAGTGGTGAGGAGATAAAGTGGGTTTTGTGTATTTCCTGTAGGGTCAGAATTAATGACGATTTTACTCGTTATTTGCATTTACAATTTTTCATAAAACACATTCCTGCCTTCAAAATTAAGGTTTTTGCCATCTTATAATGGTTAAAAATATAAAAAAAGATTTAATAAAATATGATAAGAGATGGCTCCACCAACATTTTAAATGTTGCGGGGGGAAAGATAAGCAACTCGTTTCTAGTTTACTTTTTGTGTGCTTTTTCAGTTTTGCTTTATAAACCTTTAATTGTAAATCTGTTTGAAGAGTGTTGCTTCTAGGCATAGTGTTACACCTACTCTCCATTATAATCTGTTAGCTATTCATTTCTCTATTGGAATATATTGTAATATTTTTTATTTTTATTTTTGACTTTGTTAAATTTGATAAATTAACTAATAAACTGTTAGGTGCAAACAAATGTCTATGATTTTATATTTATTAAAATCGAATTAAATATCCAATGACACAGTGAAAGAATAATGTAACTTATTTTCTTCTAAATAAATGTGTAATAATATTGAGGTAAATGTATATTTGAATGAATTTCAAAAAAATAAATTTGTATCATTATTAAAAATCAAGAACAAATATATTTATAAGTAGAGAAATCTAACCTTCTAATAACTATACGTTTATATCTAAAGCTCAAATGATACATATTATGACCAGAGGGATGGCACTTCTTTAGTCCCTTGTCAGTCCTGTCAACAGTCTAAATCACAATGTCAACTCCGAGGAAGACTGAGCGACGACTCCTGAAGGCCCGGAGACACATCGTTTGGTTGATTGAGGATCGAGTACAGAGAGAGAATATAAGATGTAATTTTACTTCTGACACCAGTGTGACTCTCCGGTCACAATATCAATAAAGGAAAGAAAATAAAATTAAACAGAACACAATTAAAAGGAAAAGGAGGCATATCACCATTTTTAATTCCTGTTCTAACCACTTTAGCTACAAGAGCTTTGTCTAGCGCAACAGGATTAGATGTTTTAATTTGAAAGACTTAACATGAAGGAACTGGATTGGGATGTAAAAAAAATCATGGAGGCATTCTTCCCTTACCATGGTCAAATTTATAACTAGAGAAAGGAGTGATTCAAACCTGTGTATATTCAATGAATAGTCTGGGTATATTCAAATGACAGGGTAATGATTAGGAAACAATGTTTGTCATTGTTGCTTGTATATCAGGTACATTGAGGCTAATAATCTTTCGTGGTTTATGGTTGAGAGAATGAAGGAATAAAGTGTCATGTGTTATATATCGAGAGAGATAAGACCTAATAAAGATTATATTCATTATTAACATTTACACTCTTTTATCAAACTCATCCATACCCTTAAAATTAAGCATTTTGCCATTTTACAGTAATTTAAATATAATAGTTTTTTTTTTAAACAAAATCTTACAACAGATTGCACAAGACACTATTTGATTTATGTAGCTTAATAATATAAAATATTTTTAAAAATTTCATAAAATATTTTGAATAAATGTGTAAAAAAATTAATTTTAATTTTCTTAACAACATTTACACGAGTATGTATTTAATAAGTAAATGTAATATTAGCATAGTTGTAATATTCGGTTTGTTTATTAAACATAAACATATAACCTCAGAAATTTATATACTCATTTACTATTTCAGTAATTAAAGTTAATATATATGTAAAGTAAAGATAAACCACAAAAATCAGGAGCATGGCTTAGTGTCTATAAACCAGTGTGTGACAGCTGAAACGAAAGAAAAAAGAGAGTGGTTTCTGGATACCTTGACCATAAAACAGAAGCTTTCAAAGGCAAAACAAGAAAACCTCAAGTTTAACGACAGGAATTCAAAGATTAGAAGAGGAAACTTTACATATAGGCCCTATACGTTTTTTTTTCATTGGATAGTCATCATTTTCCCAATCGGGGATCAGAGTCACCCTTGTTTCGCTATCTGCACCACAAGGGAAACGCTATCTTTATTTCTTATAAACAATAATATTTTTCAAAGTCTTAATACATACAACTAATTTAATACAAAACATTAAAACATGGGCATCTTGCCTTCACACGATTGCGACTCTTGTCGCTAAGGAAGCAACTCGCTCCCTCCCTCTCTCACGACAGAATTTTGCGCGTGAAGGTTTTTATATCTTGGGCTAATGTTTTAGTCTTAATGATTCTGTATAAATCCAATTCAGTGGTATTCAGGCATTCTGTGATTAACAGCTGTAGCTGCATCCTATCCATGCCGTATTTTGAACAGTCATTTATAACGTGTTCCAAGCTGTTGTTTCCATTTTCACATTCACAAGATATATCTTGATGTTTGCCGATCCTATTCAGGTATTCTTTAGTATTGCAGTGATTAGTCAACATTTGTGTCATTATATGATCTATTGGGAGCCAGTTTAGATCATGTATTCTTTCTTGAATGTTAGGAAGCAACCAGAAGGTATGCCGTCCCTTCTCACTGTAGCTCCACTCCTCTTGCCATTACTGTATGGATTCTTGTCGAAGCATTTCCTTAATATAGGACAATGGTATTTTGTTATATGCTATTTCACTCTGTAATGTGGCCTCCTTGGCCAGAGCATCTGCTTTTTCATTGCCCATAATGCCTACGTGGGCTTTAACCCACCTTATTTTAATATTCAGTTCATGTTTGTTAATTAAGTTCTTAATTTCTAATGCCATAATATTTCTATTATTAAACTGCTGCAGATAGCAAATAGCAGCTTTACTATCAGTGTTTACAATAATGATGGAACCGGTCAGTCGGGTGGAGATGATCCATCTCACTGATTGAAGTATGGCAAAAAGTTCGGCTTGGTGCACAGTGCACCGGTCATCAAGTCTGAATTTGTCATGATATATTTCTTTTTCATTTTGCATGACCAGGTAAGAGGCTCCCACCTGGTTCTCCACCTTCGATCCGTCAGTGAAGATTTCCATTTCTCCACTCTCCTCTTCTTCTGCCACTATTCAACTTCACATTCATCCGGCCGCTACCGCACACATATTAGTAAAGATTCTCCAAATTGCTACAAAATTTATCGTTGCTACCGGTAGTGCTAAGAGACCGGTTCTATGAATTAAAGAAAGAGAAAGAGACGTTAAAAAGTTGGCGGAACGCAGTACCAAAAGTTCACGCACCAAGAAGTTCCCGCAGGTTTCAAACGTCCCCATAGCGATTGTGTTGCGGCTGCGACTGTCCTTGAAACTATAGAAACTGAGGTTGCCTCGCAATCAAATGACAAAATCGTGTGCCCTGTGCAAATGCAAGCGGACTTAAAGAAAAATGAAATGTATGTACTCTGCCGAAAATTTTCCGAAAATCTAAATATAATATACAATGAATAATATACAAAGTATTCTTTCGACACTATTGAACACTTGTTTTGAGCTATTCTGAGAAACAAAATCCATGGATTTTTTTCCTTTGAACACATCGTAACTAGAATAACGCTGTAGCAGTGGCGCACCAAAAGATTTCAAGGAGCCTTCGCTTCCTCTGAAAGAAAGAATAACAAATGGTAAAAAAAATTCGAAAAACTTTCCCTAGTTAAAATTCATTTTTATATTTATATTCTGCAGTATCTTCTATTTCTATACTTCTCATGAATTAGTGGTCACATAAGATAGTAATTTCATTCAATTTGCATTAAAAATATTTTTATCCGTTCGACTCGGCTATCCCAAGAGCCCCACTGCGCTGCATCAATTCTTAGTGGCACAAATTTGAAGAAAACTGCAAATTCTATTCGTTCCAACAAAATTGTGGCCTCTTATTTTCACAAAGTCCGACGTGTCTTCAATGAAAGCCCCTGAATTGGCCGTGAAATTGCCAATGACCCGACATTTGAAAATTAAATATATATTTCATTCAATTGTGAAAATTATTATGCTGACAATACCATTGGAAACTCATTCGATCATTTGTTTTAAAACATGAATTTTGATTTTATTTAGTAGAAAACGTGAATGGACGGTGATTTATAGAAAGGAATAATAGCAACAAAACAAATCAAATGCAATAAGAGTCAGATTTTTATAAATTAAAATCTGAGGTTATAATGTAATTTTATTAAATTGAAACATTTTTACATTAAATTGAAACACATTGAAAATAAAATATCGAGTATATCAAAACATGATATATGGCATTTCTACATTGAAAGGTTCTTCTAGTTTTCTTGTTATGGGGGTGGCTTCTCATCGTGGTCTGTTCGGCATTATAAATTAATTGTGAGGGTTCTTCATCGGTCCAGATCTTGTACCATATGTAAAACAAGTTATTAGACAACTGCAGTGAGAGGATACTAAATAAAATTAGCGATAAGTTTAATATTAGATCGTAAACTTCTAATTCGGTGAGTGGAACAAAAAATAGGTAAAGAACACCATTAATTTATATTAAGTGAACAAATAATAAACAATTTATATACCCTTGGCTTAAGAGATTTTACTTTCTGAAATCTTTCCCTGTAAAATGGTCGGAATAATTTCTATTTAAATATTCTGGCCGTTTCGTTTTCAAAATCTCGTCTAAATCAGTCATTCTACTATTAATAACGCATTGAATTCATCTGAAAATCAATATAAACAATATAAACACATAGGTTGAATGATAACAATATTTTAAAGGAAGAATGTTGATATAAATGAAAACAACCAAATTGCCTATTAATTTACTTACACTTGTTTGTCTTTAGGGTGTCGGTAAAACGACTCGCGATCACTTTATATCTTGTAATTAATACACCAAAACATAGCGCAAATAACACCTCTTCCGACCATTCTAATTATTGTGAGGTATAATAAGTTCAAAACTTTATGCTAATATCCAAAAACGTCCTGTTATACAGACGGTACAAATGGAGTAAAGTGTAGTTATCTCCTCGAACCACTAAAGGTTCTTTCTTCACTCCGGTTCTTAAATCTACAAAATCACAGAAATTATTACTTACGCAATTTGCTGACCGAGAAAAGACAGAAAGAATGAAAACTTACCTTCTAATCAGAAATCTCAACCGAAATGCAGCAACAACATAACAAGAATCTATGGAATAAACGTCTTAAATATCCGATAGACCTTCCTCCTTCTTTCGGATTATTTGCTCGCAACGGCGACTCCCCTTTGATCCAGGAGTCACATTTCGTCGCAGGCAAATCTTTGTCATCCTGCGGTAGATCAAAATTAAAATTATCGATCATCCCAGTAAAGGATCATTTTGAGTTTCTTAGAGAAAAATCAATGGTCTACCTGAATTGGGTAAACTTTGTTTTGCCGAACACTCGATTTGGCAACTCTTCTCCTACTAGATAGAAATTCTCATTTAATATTAAACAAATCTTATAAATTAACATAATTATCCATTGAATTTACCTCTTCTTCTCCATCTTATCAGTCGAATTTCGCAAAGAAACTTTTTGAGCGCAGTTAAACATTCCAACAACAATCGCAACAATTGGAAAACAATAAATCAGAAACCTTTGTTGAAAAATTCATGATAAAGACGTCATAGAATGCTATATTAATATTAAATGCTTTTAATATAAAAAATTTAAAACGTTAATCTACGTTTTGTTTACAAATTTCGAGGTAAAACGAATAGGTGAAGGTGTCTCCTAGCAGAATAACTGCGGTTAGAATTAATACAAATACTTTAACGCTGTTGCTATAGAAGTACATAAGTGGTATCTTAGCAAACGTAAAAAATGCAACTGTTTCTTGTAAAATGGTGTTTTGAAACAATTGTGATTCCTTGGATAATGATATGATAACTTTTTCACAGGTCGACCGGTGCATAAAAGCTAATCACGTGACTCTTACTGTACCAAAAAATATACATAGAAGCTTTGCTATTTCAGCTGACATTTTTAGAACAAAATATACGGAACGAACAGTAGTTGGCCTAATTTAACATATATATATATATATATTTTTTTTTACCTTATCACTGTACATCATACTTTTTCTTTGACAATAGCGTCATTCATCTAACACCTTCCATAGCAAAGTTCTGAATTGAAATTACGTGACTTTCGGTTCGCATCAGACGATCTTGTATAGTTAATGGAGGTTTCGTGCGTCAATTCTTACTATGTCTGATCTTCGATTTCATTTTCTTAATTTCGTTCTCGAAATTAAGGAAAGACAGTCGGACAGCCCGACGACAGTTGGAATTCATAGGTATATAATTCCATTTTCAAACTGCAGTCAAATTACGGAAACTCCACTGAAGATGACCAATCAGAATATTACATTTTTAAGATTAAGAAGAAGCACGTTCGGAATTACACTAATAGGCATACGTCATTAAGCATTTATGACGCACACGTCTGGTCTTCGAGACTCTATACTGCTGTACGATGGCTGGTGAATGAATCCACGATGACTTACTCACTTCTTAAAGACATATTGTAAAAGCTAAGTTTATACTTAATTGTAGTTATGTAAAGTTTGAATTGCGAGTAGAAACAGAATTAATTGACGTGTTGCTGATTATTTTGATGGAAATTGTCTTAACCGAAATAGCATACAGACGAAGATATAGCGAATTTGAATTGATTTATACTGTATTTGTTTTCGATCATTTCAGAACTTGTACGGACGTCCTATGGAAATAGATATGTCGAAACTCAAGCATTTACATAAAGAATCTTGGCCCGAACTTGTAAGTGTTATTTTTCAACGTCAAAATTAAAATTTTCTTATTTTACGAAATAAAATAACTGACTTTTCGTATTTCACACATTCGTTTCTGAAGAAAGAATCTTTTTAATTTCAATTTGTTTGTATCTAATTAAAATTTGCTTTCATTTTGAATTGTGAATAAAGTATTGTTATTAAATATTAACAATGTTTAATAATTAACAATAATTCTTCAGCATTTGATGAGTGAATATTATAGAAATTCACAAATAAAAAAAAAGAGAAAACGAAAAAATAGAAGTTTTTGTTTCTTTTGAATTTCCCTATTCTAAAATTAAAAGATTATCGAGTACAACTTATTAACAAATTTAATATTTTGTAGTTATTTGGTGAAAAATTATTATTTGAATATAAAACCTGTACAAATATAAATCGTCGCGTTTTTCATTTATAATTACAAAATAAGTGTAAAAATTTATGTTTTTCTTATCAGTTAAGAAAAGAAAATATATATTATAATTACACAATCAAATTTACATTTAATGAGAATAAAACAGTATTCGAGCAACGTATACTAATTATTTTACGACATTTTTTTGACTGAAGATGATAATCTTTATCAGTTTCAGATTATTCTATCATTTCAAGTTATGGTGTAGCCTCCCTTACATAATCGATCTCCATTTGTGCCCATGTTTGCCTATTGTTTGCCACTCTCTACCATATTGTGCCTGCTTGTCTCCTTATGTTCTTAAGTATGGACGTTACTTGAATCTTTTGACTCCCAGTGGATACCACATTGTGATTCTCGTGAACCATCTGTTGTCAGTTTTCTTTGCCAGATGTCGTGCCCATTGCTATTTCAGAGATTTAATTCTGTGGATTACATCAGTTACTTGGTTCTTTGCCTAATCCACTCTATTCTTCTGTGATGTCTCTTGGTTATTCCTAGCATGTATCGTTCCATTGATCTTTGGGAAACTTGGAGTTTCACTGTTATTTATTTCTTTAGTATCTAGATTTCCATAACATTTTAAATATTAATACGCTAATTTAATATTTAATTTAATTTAATTTAAGATATTTATTAGTCATATTAGGCAAAGGCCTGTTATTACAGGGAGTTATAACATAGAATGAACATTGATCATAGTCATAATTATAACATATTCAGTTTTTATCAGTTAGTNATTTAAAACTTTATATTAACGTTATAAACTTAAAAAAAATAAATTCTATTTATCTATTAAGAATTATTGTTTATTTCTGCTTAATTCTATCGCTTTTAACAAGAAATAGTTTTTACTTGATGCAACACTTGATGCAAACCTGAAGTTACGCTATTTCAATTGGAAAATTATCCCTGTAAAGAGTTAGATAAATGACGGAATGACTCTGTTGCTTCCACTCTCTTCCACTCTCCTCCTTCATAGGAGCAATTAGTTCTTTTCGCCGTTTATAGTCAAAATGTCGTAACGCTTTATACGCCTTTAATGAACAGCTAGTTTATTTTTCATGTTCTTTCAGCTTTTACTTCCTCCAAACGCTTTTCATATTTGTCCCTATTGAGCTAAAACCTAAGGTAAAACCTAAGTTATACCGAGTAAATGCTACTAAAAGTTCGATATTAACGATGATCACATAACATTTCGGACTTTTACCACAAAGATTTGGTAAATCTTAGATTTTAATGGAATATCTTAGAATTTATCACAGTTCGAGCATTTACAGTAACATATATATAAACAAATTTTATTTATACAGTAATAAATGACTTTGGTAAGTTGTATTTGAATTTCATGACACGCACAAATTTCAAAAGAAAATAATAACTACTCATTCTTTATTCCTTGGAATTTTATATTATTGTATTGTTAACAAATATTCCTCTTTGAACATCACTCCATTATATTCTTTAGGCTGAATAACAATATCTGAAACAAGTGTATCGCCTTTTGATATTTTTGCTTTTTTGTGAAAAACACCAGCAGCAAGAATAATAATAAGTAATGTTTTTAGTTTAGTTCAAACCTCAGATAAAGAAGGCTACTCTGCTATATCTTACCTAACACAAATTCAAATACAGTTGTCCCTCTATAGTCCGACGTTTTTTAATCCGACATGCTCAGTAGTCCGACGCACCTCCCGTCAAGGTACCCGTCCCCGTTATGTGTCTGCTTGCACAGAAGCATGTCGCGATGTGAATCTCCCCATCCAATTCTTACTCGATGACACACATTTCGTGTGTTTTATGTGAGCAGTTCTGTTCGAACAGTTGGAGTAGAGAATATTGTAAGTTACTGCTAGCAAAACAATGCGAAATATGTAATTATTTTCGGTAATCTGACACACCTTTGGTCCTATACCTGTCGGATTATCAAGGGACAACTGTATTTTTGAACTTCTTACTGCAAGTCGTTTGAAACACAATAACACAAATTACAAAGTTTTGTGTTTTCTGTGATACAGAAACTGTGGGTTCAGATTAAAGAAGGAACCGCAAGAAATATTTTGTAGATAACACGAAATAAATTAAATCGCCAAATTTAATTACACAGCTCTGGTGTATAGAACTTCCTTTTTACAGAAAAAGTTGATTAAGCTATCTCGTAATTTATAAAGTCGTAGAATATTATAATTTAAAAATAGTAAACCGGAGGTTGACAGAAGAATTAAATAAAATTTTAACGCAAGAATTTCCCATACAATTGATTGATTTGTGATGTAGTGTAAAGAAAAAGCTTCTCTGTTATACAATGACCCGCTTTACCCAGTAAATTTGCTGGACATCGCGTGTATAATTACAAAAGATTACAATCAACCATAAATGTTAAGACAATACGAAGAAATAGCGAATGAGTGGTGTTTTACTATAATAAATAATATAGAATAAGAACCAAATTAGCATGCTATCGATTTTATTTTCTTAATTATTCATATTACATTCTTTAAATTTATAATAATCATGGCATTGATTTAAATTTAAATTTATGACTTAATTATTTTTATTAGAATATATTTATATTATTCATTGATTATATTCGTCGTCGCTATATATTTGGTTTAGATACGTGGTCAGGCTCCAAATCATGTTTAAAGTCCGACTGTGCAGTTGTTACCTTGTATCCCATCTCCAATATTTGTTAGAATGTTGCCAAGCTCTTCGAAAATCATCAGACATCTAGTTTGGTTTGTTTCGTCTTTAGGAAGACTTCCGATGAATTGTCCAAGGCATGTCACTAATGGCTCGAAACAATCGCTCAGATATTCTTGACATTTGAGTTTAGCAAGCTGTTCGAGTACGCACTCTAAATTATCCGTAAGGTTACCGATAAGGTTGCAGTAATCCATATTAGCTGATGGAGTAAATACTGGAGTTTGGCCACCACCACATGTGGAGCAACTTTCCTCACGAGCATCCGGTCCAGAAAGTAATTTATTAATTTCCCTTAGAATGTAACTAGCGTTGATGCCAAGTTCTTCAAGTTCCCTTAAGCATTTCTCCAAATCACTTCCAAGCTGAAAAAAGAATAGTCGTAAATGCTAAACGTCAATCCTTTTTCAAACATAATTTAGAAAAATTATTAAACATAATTAGACTAATTATTAAAAATAAATTAATATAATTGATATTTTATCTTTGGCTAAAAACTTTTATATTTAATATTTAATGAAAAGCATAATGTTAAACTAATTAAAATATTAATCTAAAAATGTTAATATTTTTTTTATTTGTCTAATAAAGAAAGATTTAAATCGAGTAACAAAACACTCGCATAAAATTAAATATACAAATAGATAATGTAAAACAACGAGGGGTAAGTATCATCGTATAAATGTTATAATTCTCCAAGAAGACAGACAAACAGACGTACGATAACTTTAATAAATAATGAATAGCTTATTTTTATAAACAACTTGAGTCGTCGTGTTACAGAAAAATGAGACATTTATATTACCTTTCTTTTATTTAAAAACAAAAAAAAAAAAAAGCTATGACATAGCATTAAAGTATTACGAAATTGATTTTAAGCGAGGAAAAGTAACGAAATACGTAACTTAAAATATTTAAATATTTAATTTATTTGTGAATAATATATAGTTTAGAATAATGAACATTAGCAAGAAACAAAAGTTACGATAATACAAAATTATATTAACATAATAAAATACGTTCAACTAACCTCACGGACGATACACGCTGTGAAATTATATAAATCAATTGTCTTTAAAAGATTAGCCACAAATCCGATAACAGTATAATCATCATTGCTTGGAAAATTTAACTCATTAAAAAAATCACCTATCTCATCTAAAATGCCACCATCAATTGACGGCCATGATGGCCACGAAGGCCACATCTGCCTCTGACCAAGTTGTTTTGAGACCTCTTCAATTATTCGTTTGCCTTGCTTTCCTGCAGAAAAGGAAACACCTTTCTTCATTTCATTCTTTGACGCTTTGCTGTTTTCTACGGTTGCAATTCCTTAAATAAATAAATAAGTAAAGTTTAATTAACGAAAATTATTCTTTTCAAATGAACAAATTCGACATATATTTAATAAAAAAGTTTACAGAACATTTAAAATGGTGAGTGAAATAATTTTAATTCATTTAACTTGTTTTCAACATGTAACATCTCAGAAATTTCACGTAGAATATAAGATAACAACACTATAAAATTGAAGTTTAAGCATTCAAGACTAAATATTAAATTATCAATTTGGAAATATAAATATTTTTGTAAATTTTTAACTTACCGATAAGAACCACGAGAAAGAGGATGGTTTTCATGTTGCTTTCGGTTTGTTGCTCGCCGAAATATGCTTGCACGACCGTTTTCCATGCATTTTTATAGCCAAGTTCTACGTTGAGTAATGCTATTTCTCCTCCTACCTGTCAATCCAAAATTTTGACATTGCAGATGGTATTTTCAGTTTCGAATCCAATGAAATTACTTCAATTATTTACGTGGATGGTGCTCTTCCTGTTTAAGTATTATTACGTTTCCGGTGGTTATGCTTTACGGACCTACACAGAATATATTTTATATTTAATCTAAATCACCGGCAGTGAGTTTCAATTGTTTTCTAAGTATTTAAATGTATTTATTCAACTAANTAAACAAAAATATGTTTCTTATCTTAATCTGAATAACCGGCAGTGAGTTTCAACTGTTTTCTAAGTATTTCAATATATTTATTCAATAAAATTAATAGATAGAATTTTTATTTACTCGTATATTTCTCTAAAAATATATCTATATGTAGGAAACAGAATCGAATTAACATTTGAATCCCTGCAAATTTATTACAATTAACACTAGAAATGGTAGTTGATTATTTTAATGTTTTTAAATAACAAAAATGCAAAAAGAATAAATAATAATTTAGGTAAAAACAAACTATTCGACGTATAAATGAAAGTATACTTTTGTATTCTGAATTGATATAAGCATGTGTTCTAATTATTCGTAAATTAAGCTATTGTGAAAACCCTTTATATTAGACACGTCTAATAATATAAAGTTCAGATCAAGTTAACACTTTCTATATAATTTCTATTTGAACCCTGCACATCAATAAAAATTTCAACGTATCTTTAATTGATTAATATAAAATACAAATTAAATTATTTCTATAAAAATTAGTAAATTATAAGCTTTATTTTTAATTGGGTTTGCTAATTTTGTTTAATAATTCAACGTAGAAAAAACAAAAACACCTGGGATAATTGTTGAAAGCAACGTCATCAATAGCACATAGTGGCATACAGAGGTATTCTAATAAAAAAAATTATGTAATTTAAATTAAGTTAAAATAAAGTATTTAAGTAATTTCGAAGCAAAATTACGTTAATTTAAAATGAAATAAATATTATATTATATTATATTTTTAATAATATATTAATAATTTTATCAAAGCAAAGTAGACGTAACTCGAAACTACACGCAAACACTTCTTAATAGACACGTGTTGTTAACACGTGGAAACGTTGGTAAGAACTAAAACTAAAAATTTCGATTTAAAATAATTTAAAAATTTAAAAACTATTTAAGATAAACCATAATTTTAAATAAACTCTCACGTAAGATAACTTATATAGTAATATAGATCAAATACTATAATGTAGTATACAGTAATAGAAAGGTTAGAATTACTTCTAACCCTTCTATTAAAATTACTTTTATTAATATACACTTTTTATATTTTTGTCAAATTTTAATATAAGAAGTATTTATATAAAACTGATAAAATATAAGATTTATTTTTAATTATATTGCTGTTTTAGTTATGTAATTCAACACGAAAATAATAGAAACATATGAGACAATTATTCTAAACAACGTCATCAACGATGAAACTAGCATACTGAGGTATTGTTATTTAAAATTATTTACAATAAATTAAGTTAAAATAATATAATTAAATAATTTCTACTTTTAAATTATTTATTATATCGAATAGTATACATTAAAAAGTGTGCTTAACAGTTTAAAATTCAATATAGAAAAGTTATAAAGTAGACGATAACATTTAAATATAAATCTTAAATAAGGATTTCCATTTTTATCGAAAATAATAAGATTGTAATGCATAAGAATATAAATTATACAAATATAACAAATTAATAAGTTCAGGTAAATATCATACAAAATTATAAGTTCTTTATTTTTCTCATAGAAATAGAATGGGGTGCGTACAGTTGTGAGGTATTTTAATCTCTCACCATTACATCGTCTGTCCACATTACACCTCAATTAAATACATTAACTTCACATTCGTGTTTGATAAGTTTACTAAAAACAATAGACAATAAACGTAAACAAGTAAAGGGGTTTAAAACCTCTCAAAATCGTCCTCGTAGTAATAATTAAAATGTAATAATTAACTTAATATTTAACGTAATTATATGTTTAAAACATTTATAAACATGTAAAATATTTCAAATTCCATTTTCTTTTTAAATATAACTTATTTGAAATTATATAGATATATTTTATTAACTTTGAATGTAAAAATCTCTATATAAATATATTTGTAGTTTAAAAATATATAACCTGTAAGAAAAGAGGTTCTACCATTAATTAATCAATACTAAATTTCTTCTAGAAAAACAGAATTTATATTGACATTTCGGGTTTAATTAATATTTTAGCTGATTAATTGATTAACACCTCGGCATTGTGACGATATCTCAGTAAATACTTGCTCGTTTCTTGATTGCTTGCTGTTTTCTCAATTATTTGTATGTTTGTAAAACAGAATGAAAGTGATTTTGATAACACATCACTCAGGAAGACTCCTTTTTTATGAAAATTCATTTATTTTCTATGATTTACAACAAATATGAATTTCTATCCCAATGCCTCTGTTCAGTACTTATTTTGTTATACAGTAGAGCATCGATTTTCCGAAAGTCAATCATCCGAAACGTCAATCATCCGAAAGAATTCCAGTCGGCAAATTTAAATTTTCGCCAGAGCTGTGGCGCTTCAATCTTTGGCTATTTCTTGGGCTACTCAAATATTTTACGTTTTTGATACTAAATTAACATCTGAAGTATAATTTTTTATTATTTTTATATCTTTCAATATATTTATTTTGTTTGTACAAAATAAAAAAATAAATTTTAACGATACAATAGTCTTTGTTAGGCTTAACATCGAGGAAAATTCAACGCGAAGCGACACGCAACGGAGAAAAATTTCGACATCCGATACGTTAAACTATTTTTTCGTACGTAAATCAGTTATCCGAAATATCAGTTATCCGGACAACCCCAGTCCCCAATTAATTCGGAAAATCGACGCTCTACTGTATATCTGAATGTCCTAAATTCCCAGATACAGATTTATATCACTCGATATCAAGTGCGATTAGCTTGGGCTCATTGGTTTGTAAAGCTTCTGTAGAAAGTGTTGTGAGTTTTACAGCAAAAGTATTGTAAATCTTCCATATCTATTAACTACAAAAGCTATAAAAGCAACTCATTTTGTGTATAGTTTGATACAAATTTTATCTCTATGTAATTAGATTTCCTAGAAGAATATTTTTTATCTATGTCTAGCATTAAACGTGAACCCCTAATTTGGAAATCAAGTTCTTTTTTATTTCATAATATAAAAAGAATATTAAAAGAACCAGGATTATATTATGGGATATTTTAATATATAGAATGTTTTAGAAAATTAATTTAGTTTAAAATATTGTTTTATTTTAAAGAAAAAAAAAGAAAAGTTTATCGAAATATATTATTTTTAACTTTTTAAGAATCAGAAGGAGTTAAGGAGCTTCTTCTAAAATAAAAGTTTATGGAGAAATAGAAATAGAATTTATTTCTATTTCTATCTCCTTTTCACTATGCTGTTAGTGACATACAGCCAAGCTTTTATTTACAGGCTATAGTTTGAGCTTTGAATAAGTTTTCACCCTATTTTGGTTGCATCGATCCGATTAAGAAAAAATGAGATTAAGAAGTCCTCTTAATCAAAAGAAAATGATTTTCGTATTGCCTTCTCAGGTAACAATAGTAATTACTGTAAGCTCTCGTTTTAGTAATATGAACCGCTTTTATAGAAGATATAAATTAGACATTCCTAATAACATTGTTTAGCATTAATAACAAAGTTTAAAGTCAACTGAAAGTCGTCATTTCCTACTTCATCCTGTTACCCATAGTCTCACATATTGTTTTCCAAATTAAATTACCTTTGTATTTAGTTATTCCATTTATGAAGTAGCTCAAGAGTTGACCCAGATGTTTCGATTATTTGTAGCTACTTAATTAAGAAAAGGTACAATCTAATTAAAAGTAAAGCTTAGTTTTGGAATTTGGAATTTTTGGCAGAAATCCGTTTGATTTGAAATTTATTTATTTCAAATTACTTTGCTTTATTACAAAATTACAATGACGATGGTGTAATTAAATAATTAAATAGTAGAAAACGTGTAGGTTGTAATAATGAAAATCATATAACTTTAATTTAAAGGGGCGATTATTCTACATATTCGATCTTCTCCCTGGTGTACTCTGTTTCTGACGTAGTAGAAAAAACCAGGAGTCAATATCCACCGAACAGGTCGTATGAAATAAACGTATTTTGACGATGACGCAAAACATTTTAAAAAATGACAATGACACATTATAATATACAGTAAAACATGCTAATGTGACCACTGAAAGGACCAGCTGAAGGTGATCATNCCCAAAACTCCTTGACTTCTTCCAATGCGGCCCAGAGAAACAAAAAGGTTGGACACTCCTGGTCTAGAATATGTTAGCGATTGTGTTCAACCACTTATGAATTGCCTTTCAGTTACAGTTAGAGATCTTCCTAGAAACCCAACAGACCAAACTCAATGTCAACAGCTTTACACTGAGGTTGCCAACATTTTAAATAATCTTGATACTGTGTTTAACAATGGTAACTGCACGATCAGTGTAGCTTAAACATGATTTAGAGCCTGACCACGTATCTAAATTATATACAGAGACGATAAATATAATCAATGAATAATATAGGGGAGATCGGGGCAAGATCGGCATGTTAAGCTTTACTTAAATTTTGTGTAATAAATACTGCTGTAAACTGAAAAAAAAGCTTTGCATATTGTCTATTGGAATGTTACCTTACTANAGATAAAACCCCGGAAATTTAAGAACGCGACGGCTTCTTCTCCCGAAAGTCCCAATTGACGGATCTATTGTTATGCGTGTGTCTCGCACTCATCTTCGTCTCCATCTCCCGACCTCAGATGGACATCTTACCATCAACGGAAGTCAACTGCATCGTCCCGGGTTCGATGGAATTGTTCATTCGCAAACAAGGGACACTCCTTCAAAATGAAACTATCTTGGAAAAGAGAGGAAGACTTAGAGGCCGCAGCCGCTGTA